CCCCTGGAAATGCTCTTTGCCCACCCTTGCAGTATATGATGCATGACAGCTAGAAGTTACAGTTTTATACAAATTATAGTGGAGTTTTGTTTGTTGTTGTTAACTGCCATTCGATGTTGACTTCGATTTATGGTGGTCCTATTATTGTCGCTTCACTATGAATGAGAGACCTCCAAATTATTCTGTCATCAATAATAGTGCTGCTCAGGTCTTGCAGACTCAGGGCCATGGCTTCATTGATTGAGTGTATCCATCTGAAATGTGGTTTTTCTGTTTTCTTATTGCCTTCTACATCATTAAGCATTATTGTAATTTTTTAGAAAGAAAATACATTAATGTATTTTCATTATATGTCCAAAGTCCAACGGTTTCAGTTTAGTTATCTGGGCTTTTAGGGAGAGTTCAGGCTTGATTTGCTCTGGGACCCCTTTATTTGTCTTTTTAGCAGAATGCTTTTCCATTTCAAATTAGACTTGAGTCCATTTGTGCCATAAGCCATAGTGCTACTCATAGCACTCTGCTGTACCATAGTAGCCTGTTCAGTACTATTCATCCTGGGAGTTTCATCTTCTGGTACTATTGCTTTTTCACTTTGGATTGTTTCATCATGGGGTTTTCATGTTAAAATACACTCAAAAGGGGTTTACCATGCCTCATCCTGCTCAGTACACAGAAGTGTCAGCTACGGTGTCACTGTTGTTGTCTCTGAGAGATATTCCACCAGTGCAACTCAACTCTGGGGCTGAAACAAATTACAATTCCCAGAATTGCATAGCATTGATCCAGGACAGTTAAAGTGTTGCCAAACCAGATTATTTCTACAGTTTGGATGCAGCCTTAGTCTGGCTCCTCAGCAAAAGATTGTCTGAGATGGGAGACCCTGTTAGCAGCACTGCTGCCATTAGCATAACCCAGGAGTAGGCAACCTTTTTGAGTCGGGGACCAGGTTGCTGTCCCTCAGACAATGGGGGGGGGGAAGCACCAAAAATAAATAAATAAATAAATAAATAAATAAATAAATAAATAAATAAAATATATTTTAAAAAATTTAAAAAAATTAAAATATATATGCATGCACACTCTTTCAGCCCCAGAAAAGCCATGGCAAAGCCCCTGTGGAGATTTTGCCAAGAAAACCCCAAGAACAAGTAATAACAACAATAAACAATATCATCATGGTGGGTGACAGCGGCAGTGGCGGCACTGGCCTGGGGCTGGTCCAAAGGCCCCAGGGGGCCGCATCTGGCCCTCAGGCCTTAGGTTGCCTACCTCTTGCCTCACAGAAGCAGTCCCAGTATCTTGGAAAGGTAGTGCCATTGGTGGGAGAGCGAATTTAGGGTTCATCAAATTCAAAACCATTTTCTTTCTTTTACTAAAGAAAACATATTTCTTGCAGAATATAATTGTTATCTGACGGATAGAAGCAGTATCTAAGAAAAATAGTATAGATTTGCAATACTGGAACATTTCTCCTTGACATGTCTTAAGTTAAACATTTACCTGAAGAGCTCAGTGAGGTGCAAACTCTACTTTCAGCTAAGCAGATTGTTTATAATTTCCTCGGTATCGCAAAGCTTACCAAGGGGTTTCTAAACATAAAGCTTGAAGCATTTTCCTTTCACTTTCTGGCAGCAACAAACTTTGAAAAAGATGGAAAACTCATTACGCATTCCAATATGTGGATAGTACTTCCTCTGTTTTGGGGTCAATGAATGGCCAAATACTTGTACTCATTTATGAACATACCTACCTGAAATACACAAAACAGCACCTTCTTTGGGGGGGATTTACTCCTCTACTTTTAATCTATTTATTTTTAAAAAGGAGATGTGTATACTGTTGTGATGTTTTATCTGGAGTGTTTTGAAAATGTTTAAAAACTTATACTGCACACCCCTTTAACTTAAATGTTTGCATGTAGTAAGTAGTCTACTACATTTTAAAAAATAGATAAAATAGCACTTCCCCTAGGATTGCGATACAAAGCTTTCTGTTAAATTAGAATGGCAGGAAATGGCTTTTACATACAGTTTGTCTGTACACATGCAGGGATGAATATTTCCACAATTTCTATGCATAACATTGCTTTATTTACTAGTATGTGATATAAAATAAAAGCCACCCTGGAGGTTGTGCCGGAGGAAGATCCATATCTATGTTCAGCCATGAAGCTCACTGGTCAGACATTAACTCACAGCACTGCTGTACAGATAAGCAAAGGAGCACCAAACCAATACACTTTGAGCTCCTTGGAGGGGAAAAAAGGTGGGCTGTACCTATAATAAACAACTGTCTTTGATCTTTCTAGACCTTTTCCTTGTATATTTCGTTTGCCAGTTTTTCCACTCCATTCCAGCTCCCCATTAGGTATGAACCTGATATCATGCTGGTGTGTTTCAATGAAGACTTTCATGTAAGGACTAAAATGTGATTGCAACATGCCTTCGCTGGCTGGATAAATCCCTGCTCTCATCCTTCACCAGCACATCATTTTATCATCTGGTTTATACACCAACCAGCTTTTCCTCTTCTTTTTCCTTTGTAATTTGTTGGGTGTTTGCCCAGGTTTCTCGTAATTCCTACTAAGGCACACAGTTTGTCATGTCTTGAATAAAATATTATAGATTTCCTACTCAAGTAAAGAATGGCTTCCATGGACTGGTTTGCATTAATAGCATCTCAGTCTTCTAAGTAAAAGGTTGGCTTTTAGGTGGACTTC